AATAAATGTAACTCGAACTGTAGGTGGCGCTATACCGTCAGCTAACAAAAGGCACATTTAAGTGAAATATAAGATAGGGCTATAGAGCCTAAAATAACATTTCGGTGACAATGACTAAGTAAAAATAATAAAGCAGAACTTTGGCCATAACAATAGTACAGTGTTAATAAAAAAAAGGCAAAATGACATTTTCTCAGCAATAAAAGTTCGAAATAGATAAAAATCCAGAAATACCTGTTTTGGAATTCGTTTCTTTTTACGTTTGTGTATAATAACTGAAATAACATTAGCGGACAATGAACAAATAAGTAGGGGAACGAGGATCCCTGCTGCAATGGTCACACTGCCATCCGACTCGGAAGTCGATTCTATAAAAGAGTTTAACACAGTATTCGAACCAGATTCTACATTAGGTTAAATCAAAGACACTAGAAAAAGTGTCTTTGGTTAAATGCCAAAAAGGGATCGACCCACAAAGTTTACTGGTGGTCTCCTTGCCTGGTTGGCGACGGAATGATACGATAATGATATTATGATAAGACGGTCACCCGTCTCGTCATGTAGTCTCAGTCATGGAATACGGTTTTTGGCATATAATGCACCGTTACACTAAAACATGTAATACATGCTAAATGCAAAATGACTAGATATTTCGACAACACAGTAAATAGCGAACAATATAAATAATAGCTACGTTACCAAGAGTCAGTATGCTTGTCTTTGGCTCGAATCCTGTCTCTTCGCAAACCCCGTCAACTGTGCAATACGTTATTTTATACAAAGCGGATTCGTCGTCAACAGGATACTCTAATATATCGCCACCAACGCAACTTTCTAGAACTTCCCATGTCTTGTTTTTCTCGGATTTCTCAATCTTTACACATGTTTTGAACTCGTGGCGAGTCCAAGATAATCTTCCAAGTTGAAGGTCAAATTCAATGATTGGTTGGTCTAAAGTCAAGTAACAAAACACGCTAATAAGCGACTAATAAGCGTGTCAAGAAATAGTTAGTTACATATCAGGTGATATGGTCGCAAGATGATCCTTTCTTATTGTTAGTGGCGTGTTTTCAGTTTGTGCGTTATAAATTGAATTTTCGTGGACGAAATCTACACATATGGGCAATTAATTATCGTAATTATGACCTAAAATCTTTGATTTAATATTCATAGTCACATATTTTAAATTTGGGTCTATTCAGTGACATTATCACATCGGAATGGGAGATGTTTACAACTGCTAGACATGAGCTCTATTGTTAGGGTTCGTTACAAATCCTACGTAGACTTGTAAAAATGTTCACAAACAAGTTGTATATCATAAACAAGCGACCTGACAGTTGAAATAGCTCTGCTGTCTTCATTATCATGGAACAAGAATATGAGAAAAATATTCACTATAATATATTCCAAATTTGCATATTTTGACACAAATTTAACAAATCTGACAGAGGATCACCCCAAGTACCATTACTGTAAATATCAAAGCATTGGAACTTACGGTTTCGGACTAGTTGTCGAAAATAAGAAAAAATTACCAAAAATATTCACTAAAAATCCAAATTTTCATATTTTTACACAAATTTAAGAAATCTGACAGAAGACCACCCCCACGTATCATTGCTGGAAATATGAAAGCATTTGAACTTACGGTTTCGGACTAGTTGTCGAAAATAACATTTTTTACCAAAAATGACAAAAATATTCACTAAAAATCCAAATTTGCATATTTTGAGGACCACCCAAGTACCTTTGGTACAAATATGAATGTGCTTTTGAAGAGGAAGTCGTTTAAAGGAAAACTTCACGCGGGACACGGGACGGACGACGCCGGTGAGACCCCCATACCAACAGCTCAAAGTGTTTACACGCGTTAGTGCCTTTCAAACATAATAAATGCTAGTATCTAAGACCTTGCCATCTCATAAATACGAGCAATATTGAATAACGAGTTGATATTAACTAGGTTGTATGCGAGTGAATTTCACAAGAAAATTAATTTCAACATACCTAGTGTTCTGAATACGTACGAATCACTAACGTCTCCCCGACCAACAGTATTTTTTGCATATGCCTTTATTTCGTACCGTGATGAAGGCTCCAAATTACTAAGTCTCGTCGTTGTATTTATATTTTCTAGTTCATTTCTTTGCAACTGTATTGTGATGAATGACGCTTCTCTCCATGAACGATAATCAATGTAATACACAATATTCTCATGATCGCCTCCGTCATACCCAGGTTCAATGGCGACTGTTAAGGTATCATAATATCGATCAATTACAGAAATATATTTCGGCTCATTTGGAACAGCTAGGAATATAAACAAACAAATTGGCATCGTTATGTCATACGCAAATCGTAACTCCAACTGTGGCTTGAACGGAGATAACAGTCTTTGAATCAGGCCGAGATATTTCGTGTCCCTCCGCACGTTTGGTTGTTATTTTTTGGACTCTCGAGCTCCAAACAACCAGTTAAATACAAAAGTAATAAAACCTGCGCACGCGGGGCAATTGAGTCCCGAGTGACGATAACAACGTTAACACACGCTAAAAACGCAAAGGTTCATGGGTTTATAAACAATGACGCGCTAGAGCCATCTGACGCATGCGCAGGTGACGACTCCCCTGCTTTAAAAATATTGCAAACTGCCGGATTTACGTTTTTTCATCCTCTCTTCGAATTTACAATTATGACGTATTCGAACAAAATATCACGTGATATAGACGCTCGCAAGTAGTTTTATACTTGGGTAAGTAGATGTGGAGACAAACTTGATACAACCATCTTACTACTTCTCATCAAGGACGGGATACAAATATCACACAAGCTCTTCATATTTTTCGCTTATCACTCGTTAAACGCAAAATATATTTGCAATATTTTGTCCAGCAAACAAACAAGTCAGTCATTCACTACAAAACCTTCGATCAGGGCACAACTCTCCAAAATGCTCATCAACTAACTTTCCGCCACAACACAACATGTCATACACGTACGGGCAAGGTGATATGTTCACGGATGTGTAATAGACGA